GAATATGATGTGGCAAGTTAGTCTTTTGTAAATTGTTAATCTTACTGTTAAAGGTGTTACTGTTTATACTGTCTGTTATTGATGTAAGTTTTTCTATGGCACCATTAATGTCTTCTTTTGTCTTAAGCGGAATTTTCAGGTCTAGTTTGTTTTCCAAGTCATCACGAAATTTGTCCAAGTTTACTCGTCCTGTAATCAATTTAGGAGATGATGGTTTAGGAGCATAGCTTGAATGTAGTAAAAGCAGCACTGGACTATAGTCTGAAGAAAGGTCATCGAGTGATTTGATTAAGGTTTGTGAGAAGGAAATCTGGGAGGTGATAAATATATCCAGGATATCGGGACGTTTTTTGAGTGATGTTGGCCAATAAATAAGTAGGACTCATGGGCGAGAGGATTGAATAACTGTTGGAAGATGAGATACGTGAAAGGATGTTACCGCGGGAGTTGGATGTTCGACAACCCCATCGTTGGTGTTTAGCATAGTAGTCTCCTCCAGCAATAAAGCGCGATCCGAGGGATTGGAATAAGGATTCAAGGAGATTATGTTTGGTGAGTTGCCCGCTGAACCGGGGGTAGAGTTTTGATTGCACTTTTGAAGAGTCCTTCTTTTTAAATATTGTGAATCGGTCTCACTGACTTCGGAAAATGGTGTCTCTTCCTCCGATTCTTCACCAGACGTATTGTCAGGTTCCGTAATGAAAGAGAAAAAAAAAGAAAATCTGTACCTGTTATACACTAAAAAAAAAAAAAAATTACGAAATGAATTCTTAAAACTAAGCTATTTACATTATTTACAGTTAAAGTAAGAAAAAATTAAACCAAAGTAAAAGTCTTAGAGTAAAATAAACAAATAGAATAAAGAGAGAAGAAAAAAGAAAAGAAAAAAAATAGTTTATCAGTTTGGATCCTTGTGCGGGCTCATTACCGCGTATGGGGAGCGTCCCACGGGTGGCGGATGTGGGGATGGTTGGTGGAAATTCCTTGGGAGTTCCTCCCGGCTAAGTCCGATGGACTCGCTGACCAACAATGGGAGGGGCCCTCCAGTCTTGCTGGAGGGAGGGGACCTCCAGACTTGCTGGAGGTAGGGGCCCACCAGACTTGCTGGAGGGTGTGACGTAGGATTGAATGCCCTACTCACATATCGTTAGTTCACCAAACACCACAAATAGTCATGGATCTCCCTAAGGTAAAACGCTCATTATCCGGAAGTAAACTAGTCCCCCGTCGGGTCTCCGGGTGGGGACTGCTTTAAGGGATTCATGGCGCAAGTTGAAATATAGGGATTTAAATATTGGTACGTGGAACGTAAGGAGTTCAAACACAGCAGGGGAGCTAAAATCGGTCGCGAATGAGGTAAATGGGTACAATTTGGATGTTGTGGCTCTGCAAGAGGTTCGCTGGCCAGGGGAGGGCTCGATGAGGGAAGGAAAGTACACTATTTGGTACGGAGGAAGCGGGAATCATTGTTTAGGTACCGGGTTTCTAATTAGGAGTAGATTACTATCCGCTTTGAGGGACGTACAATTCTTTAGTGATAGAATCTCGGTAGCTATATTTCAGGGACATTGGTTTAAAATCGCATTAATAAACATACATTGTCCGAATGAAAACAGTGACGATGAAGTCAAAAGTGAATTTTACGATAAACTCGAATGGGTTTATGATAAAATACCGCGAACTACATGAAAATAATTGTAGGTGACGCGAACGCAAAGGTAGGAAGGGAAGAAGTTTATATTCCGACGATTGGTAAAGAAAGTTTGCACGAATATAGTAATGATAATGGGATCCGTCTCATAAACTTTGCTATCTCGAAAAACCTGATAATTAAAAGTACGACGTTTAAACATAAGGATATTCATAAATATACTTGGACATCACCGGATTCGCAAACACGAAATCAAATCGATCATGTCTTGATACAACACAGCTGGCAAAGCAGTATAATTAATGTACGGTCTTATCGCAGAGCAGAATGTGGGTCGGATCATGAATTAGTAATCGCGAAACTTCGACAAAAACTTAATATAAAAAAGAGGAAAGAAAACCATTTCGATTTTGAGAATTTTAATTTGGAAAAGTTAAAAAATCCGTCAATTAGAACCCAATTCGAGCTAGATGTTAAGAATAGGTTTGAAGCTTTAGAGCTTCCTCATGAGGATATTGACAAGTTATGGGTAGAGATCAAGGATAATATTAAAGCGGTCGGTAACTCGTGTCTAGGAAAAAAGGAAAATAAGAATAACAAACCGTGGTTTGATGAAGATTGCTTAAACATGTGCGAAAAAAGAAAAGCCGCTAAATTAAAAGCTCTAAATAATCCTAGCCAAGCTGATCATATACAAGACCCTTGTTCGGCCTGTTTTGACATATGGCTCAGAGGCTTGGACGATGACCGATGTTTGAGCGAGGAGTCCTCAGAAGGATTTATGGTCCAGTAAAGGAGGGTGATGTCTGGAGGAAAAGAAAAAATAGGGAACTCAGTTTTCTCTATACAGACATCGACGTAGTCACCTATATTAAACTGGCCAGACTAAGGTGGGCAGGGCATGTGGCCAGAATAAGCACCGTTGAAATACCAAAGAAAATAATGATGGAGGAGCTGCATCTCGTAAGACGGGTAGGAAGGCCGAGGACGAGATGGTTGGACAACGTGGCCTATGATGCGAGAACCCTGCTTGGTGTACGGAACTGGAGAGCTGCAGCAGAAGACAGAGCCAACTGGCGGAGGCTCTTAGAGGAGGCCCAGTCTCGGTAACGGGATGTCGTGCCACACATGATGATGATGAAATAATCCTAGTGAAGACAATCTGGAATACTTCCGAACCTCAAAGAACGAAATGACAAAATTGCTCAAAAATAAAAAAAGGGAGTATCTTAAAAATAAAATAATTGAAATAGAAACTAATAGAATCGAAAATAACATAAGAGAAATGTACAAAGGTATAAACAGATCACGTAAATATGTAGGGCCTGTAACGTCTGGAATTAGGGATGATAATAACAATATTCTGACCGATCCGGTTGACATATTAAATAAATTTAAGGACCACTTTGACAATATTTTAAATACGGGAAATTATAATCTGTGTCCTCCTTCTGAGTACCAGAGTGCTGAACCGTTAATAGAGGGACCAAGTAAAGAGGAAGTAGAAGTAGCTATCGGAAAATTAAAATCATATAAAGCAGCGGGAACCGATAATATTCCTACTGAACTAATTTAGGCATGCGGGGAAGCTGGAGTTTCTAAAATACATCGGTTGGTTAAAAAGATCTGGGTGAACGAGAAATTACCTGAAGAATGGAAAGAATCTATTCTTATTCCGATTCACAAAAAGGGTCTGAGGACGGATTGTAATAACTATCGAGGAATTTCACTCCTTCCGGTATGTTACAAAATATTCACTTTAGTCTTAACCAGTCGGATCACGGAATACGGCGAGGAAATTATCGGAGACTACCAATGCGGATTTAGACGGAATCGTTCGACTATTGATCAAATATTTTCTTTACGGCAAATATTAGAGAAAAAATTGGAGTATAACGGTATTGTTCACCAGCTGTATATAGATTTTAAAAAGGCTTACGATTCTATTGACCGCCAGAAACTTTATAATATTCTCATCGAGCAGGGGATTCCAAAAAAACTAGTAAATCTAGTCAGGATGTGCTTGACGGAGACACTCAATAAAGTTAGAATCGGTAATAATTTGTCCGAAAAATTTGAGGTTCGTTCGGGTTTAAAACAGGGGGATTCTCTTTCGCCTGTCCTGTTCAATTTGGCATTAGAACATGCCATTAGGGAGGTAATGCGAACCGAGAAAGGGTTGGATCTGGGCGGGACAACATCCGTGCTGGGCTATGCTGATGATCTGGTACTGTTAAGCGAAGACGTTGAAACTATAAAACTAAATACGACAACGTTAATGAAAGCCGGTAAAGAACTAGGACTCGAAATAAACATGGATAAAACAAAATATATGGTTAGCTGCAAAAATGGCGATACTATTGGTGATATCGATATAGAAGGCAATATGTTTGAACAGGTAGAGAAATTTAGGTGCCTAGGTTCTACAATAACTAGAAAAAACGAAATTGAAGAAGAGATTAAGGTTAGACTGAAGGCGGGAAATGCTTGTTATTTTTCTGTGACAAAACTACTTAGCTCGCGCATCTTGTCCCGGAATTTAAAGACTAGAATCTATAAAACCGAAGAAGGATGAGTTAACCGGAGAGTTCAGACGGTTACACAACGCCGAATTGCGTGAGCTGTATCCGGGTATTATAATTGAGGTAATTTCATCTCTGCGAATCAAATGAGCTTGTAAAGTTGTTGGGCTTAGTAACGAGAGAATTCCTAAAAGGTTAATACTTGCTGTGCCGAATGGTAAGCGTCCGAGGGGTAGACCGAAGCGAAGGTGGGAAGATTGTATTAAAGCCGATCTGAAGGGACTGGGTTTGGACGGCGAACGGTGGAGGGAGGTATGTAATAAGTGATTGGTGGTGTCGGCATCGAACCTTCGGGTTCGCTAAGCCTTTTATTATTATTATCAGTTTGGATACGAACTCGATATCATTCGAAGGAAGTTGTGTTAGTAAATAGAGCCTTGGCCGTGTATCTTACGTAGATAGGGCAAGACCCGTAAAGGGAATTACCGATCAGCTGTGCTGTCTCTACCGAACTAGTATCAATTAACTATTAAACATAATTGTTAATAAATATTTCTCACCTAACTATTTAATGTGAAAATGTTTAAATGTACAAAAGCTCACTGTTCACAAATTAAAGCAGCAGTATTTGCAGAATTAGCCAGTTGAGAAGGAGACAAAGACAGAGCGATGCAAGCATTAAACTGTAGTTGCGGCCATTTTCAGATCGACATTTTAAATTTAAATGGGAAATACTTTTTAGATTTTAGTATATTGAATATGAAGAATATTTTATTTCAACATATATAAGAATTATTAATAAATGCAATATAAAAAAAAAAACTTACAATCCTTGTTATTGGTGTTAAATTCTTTAAACTGTTCAGGGCTTCTATGTATAAGTTTCACAGTGTCTAAGAATCGTAGAAACATACCATAACGGTCACCAATATTTTCCGAAAAATGTTTGTCAAAATCAATCATAACGTATAAAATTTTTACCCCACTTTGTATTATTTCGAGTAATTGGCAACTTAGCAAATAGGTAAGTCTATTTTCGATACCTGTAATGAAAAAATAAAAGAATTCATAATTATTAAAGTTAGGTCATTTATAAAGGAACTCACTGGACAATCTGTATTTAAATAGATTGAATCAACACTTCTAATTTAAGAAATCACATAATCGATTAATAACACAGAACTTTTCTCTATCAAAGTTCACATGAGCCTAATTATTTTCAGTCCTAACTGCATGTTTTTCACTGTCGGGTTTGTTATATATTCCTTCTATCGAAGAGAAGAATAGTTGGGGTGATCAGTATCAAGCAATGCTTCGATTTACTTCAAGCAGTCAGCCCTGATGATGGCCTGAACTTCAGGTGGAAATGTCGGCAAATGAAAAAATAAATATTATCATTTTTTTTATTTGTTACAATAAATTAGGCCGTTTTTCACCAACATTTTATTATTACGCATCAATTTAACGTTTCGACCATACTAAGGATCATTTTCAAAACTTGATGAGTCCTCCTAATATGTTCATCCTTAATGTTCTAATTAATATGTTCAGTGAACATTAACTTATCAATTTTTATAGGGGCTTCGCCCAAGTCATTTCTGGAGAGACTATTCAGTCCCCTATAAAAATTGACAAGTTAATGTTCACTGAACATATTAATTAGAACATTAAGGATGAACATATTAGGAGGACTCATCAAGTTTTGAAAATGACCTTTAGTATGGTCGAAACGCTAAATTGATGCGTAATAATAAAATGTTGGTGAAAAATGGCCTAATTTATTGTAACAAATAAAAAAACTTCAAGACACCAAAAGTAGGAAAAATGAACAGAATAAATATTATCATTTATTTTTGCCTTCTTATTTGACTGATCACCCCAACTATTCTTCTCTTCATTATTCACGACAGTCAACTATTTAACCACTATTATTCCTTCTATCAATTTATTATATATTTTCAAGTTCTATTTTGTCAATTATCATTCTGGGGCTGAAGGATCCATGTTCATGACTGAATCCAACATGTCTTTTTTTTGTTTTATTGCATAAAAATATAAATTAAAATTTTATACACGCATATATACATTTTTGTAACATTATTTTAACTATAATTAACTTATCAATTAAATTAATTTCACCCTATGTTTATTAAATTCATAAATAATGCACTTGTAAATTAAATTTAATTTCTAAGGTCTTTTTGTTTTTTATGTTTAATGCTCCAAGATATATATATTTTTTTTTTTTTGTTCCTTTCTTTATTTGATTAATTTAATTTTTTATTAAGGGAGATATATTTTAATTTTTTATTTTGTTTTATGGCAGGTAATATTTTTTTTTTTTCAAAATACATAATTTTCTGCAATTTCGCATTTTATTTATATACATTTATCCTCAAGGATTTATTATTTTAAAATAAATTAATTTTACAAGGCACCAGTGCCTATGGATAAGGTTGAGCAGGATATATATATGTAGAATAGAATAGAATTTTTTTTTAAATTTCTTTATTGAGTATTATAACAATCTGTCTGTTCGACATTGGTTATAGTGAGGTAGGATGACATTCACACCATATGTACAAAAAAAATAAAATAAATAGAACAAAATAATAATCAAAAGTATATACAATAGACAATAAAATAAAATAACCTAAAAAATAAGAAAATTAAAACTAAGGAAAAAAAAAAAAAAAAAATAACATGCATACCTATATACAATCAGGCGAGGGAACTCCAGGAGAACCCCGCGCTACTCTTCCAACCGCGTCACTGGTACTAAAGCCAGCGGAGATTGGTCGAGAGCACTTTAGCCACATACACACATGTCTTGAGTGAAGAATCTGGCCATTGCCAGAACTCCAATTTATATAATTTACAAAAGGTCGCGAGGCCACTGCCGTTTCAACCTTCTTGGAGGATTATAGGGATGGGAGATGCTTGATAGGGATTGTGCAAGAGGATTTGGGTGGTAAGTAAGGTTCTGGTGAAATTTGGAGAACTTTTCTGGGATAAGGTCTAGGACAAATGGGATGTTAAGGTCATGATGTAGGGTTTTGTTGGATACATAGAAAGGAGCATCGACTATTGTTCGAAGGACTTTAGACTGGAAGGATTGGATGCGCTTGATGTTAGAAAATTTTGCTGATCCCCACAGTTCTAGTCCGTAAGTCCAAATAGGTTTCAGTATTGTCTTGTAGATCAGTAGCTTGTTTTCAATGGAAAGTTTAGATTTTCTGCTTAGTAGTCGGTATAGTTGGCCGTATCGTCGGTTGAGTTCTTGTCTTTTGAGTCTAGTATGCGGGTTCCAAGTTAGTCTTCGGTCTAAATGAAAGCCAAGATACCGGACTGTGTCTGAATAAGGAAGCTGGATGGAATTAAAGAGAACTGGTGGACAGGAATTGCGTCGGAGTGTAAAAGTAATATGTTGGCATTTAGATTCATTAACTTTAATGCGCCAGTTATTACACCAGTGCTCAATCAAGGTGAGATGACTTTGGAGATTTAAGGATGCTATTTCGGGATCAGAGTTGGATGATAAGATTGCGGTGTCGTCAGCGAATGTTGCAAGAAAAGTATCGGGATGAACAGGGATGTCAGCAGTAAAGAGGATGTAAAGCACGGGACCCAAGACGCTGCCTTGGGGAACACCGGCTTTAACGGAGTAGATATTGGAAAATTCTGTTCCACAGCGAACTCGAAAGGAGCGGTCAGAGAGGTAGGATCGGAGGACTAGGTACAAGGACTGAGGTAAATGGATTTTAAGCTTGGAGAGCAGTCCGGAGTGCCATACCCGGTCAAATGCCTGTGCAATGTCCAGAAAGGCACCCGAACAGTATTCCTTGTTTTCTAGGGCTGAGGAAATATGATCAACAACTCGGAGTCCTTGTTGAACAGTAGAATGTTGAGAGCGAAAACCAAACTGATGGGAAGGGATATTTTGGGATTCTATAATGGGTAGGATTCGTTTCAAAAGGATCTTTTCAAAAATTTTTGAAAGGATTGGGAGTAGGCTGATTGGTCTATAGGATGTTAGAATAGAATAGAAAATAATTTTATTCTGGGACGAAGTCCCTTCAGAATAACAAAAAAAGTACAGAAATTAAAATTTTACATCTGGCCAGATAAAAACAAACATAAAAAGTAAAGATAAAGATAAATCAGTAAAAAAAACAAAAAAAAAATATTAGTTATACATAATATATACAAAATAAAATAAAATAATCTATATACAAAACTCTCGAAACCATACTAAGATACTTAAAACTATGTACAATGGTAAAATATAAATAAACCCTTTTAGAAAAAATACAAAAAAAAAAATAAATGTAAATTCTTCTTAACAGTAAAATCTGTTTTTCTGTTGAAAAAAAAATATAAAATAAAAAAAATGTAATTTTACATAAAAGGTTAGCTGGTATCTGACTGTTTTTGGAACAGGAATTGGAATAGGAGGGTTTTGAATGTAGATAGGGATAAAGAATGTCGGAGTTTGATAGGAAGGGAATTCCAAAAATTAACAGAGTGAGCAATAAAGGAGTTTAATAAAGGAGTTTTGGAACGAGGCAGATCTGTGAGAAGGAATGTAAAGGTCGGAAGGTCGATATCTTGTGGAGAGGGAGTGGATTGAGGACTTGAATTGGAGAAGATTGTAGGCGTAGGAAGGACGATGATTGTTGATGATATAATAGAGGAATGTACCTAGGAAATATTGTCTTCGAATGGAGGGGAAGAGCCACTCTAACTCAGTGTAGTGGTGAGAGACATGGTAGTATCTCGGGGCACCAATTACAAATCTCACGCAACTGTTCATTAATCTTTTCAGTCTGTCGCGGAGCTCCACCGAGAGTCCATCATACACCACACAGCTGTAGTCAAAGTGGGGGAAGATGAGAGAGGAAACGAGGAGTCTACGCGTATGTTGAGGTAGGAGATGGCGGAAGCGATGGAATAGTTTGAGGGTAGAAATTGTCCGTCGGGAGATGTGAGAAATATGGTGACTCCAGGAGAGGGTTTGATCAATAAATAGTCCTAAATTTTTTACAGAGGAGTAGAAGGAGATTGGCTGGTCACCAAGGTTTAGTATGGGAAAGTCGGTATAGGATCTAAGGAGGGGCTTGGAACCAATGACAATGGCCTGAGTTTTTGAAGCATTTAACCTTAATCCGTTTAAGTTTGCCCAGGCACAGATTCGATCTAGGTCTGCTTGGATCTTAGTAAATGCTACCAATAGCTCAGGGGGAGAAAAGGATAGGTATATTTGAGAATCGTCTGCATAAAGGTGGTGGGAACAATGGATAATTGAGTCATGGAGGTCATTAATATAGGAACTAAAAAGGAGAGGAGATATGCTAGATCTATATGTATATATAAGAATATATATGTGCTATCCACTTTTACCAACCTTCTTGGACAGTTTAAACAGTTTATTTGGTATGCCACACCTGTTGTTTTATTTTATCTTTTATATTACTGTATAAATTTGCAATTTCATTCGTAGGTTTATACACAAATTTATATTCTAGCATATCATAGTTTACAAATATTCAATTTAAACTCTGTGATAGCTCATAAACATCATCATAATCCAATCCCTCTCTACTCCTGGGCAGTGTGGGGATGTACACTTTAGAACTTAAAACCAGTGTATCTCCTATATCAGCTTTCTCCTCCAGTTCCAGTCTAGCCCTCACTTCCTGAATGCTTCTTGCACACCTTGCTACCAGATGATCCATGGTCTTCCTCTTGGATTTCTTCCCTCCATTCGGGTCTCATATGTGATCCTGGTCTTTCTTTTCATATTCAACCAAAGTATGTGTCCGAAACTTTTTAGTTTACTCTCAACAATTTATAAATCTTGGTTTTTATTATTTTGAATTTTGGCTTACCTGTTATTTTATAGATTTTTTAAAAAACAATTTAAAAAATATTCATCTTCATATAATGAGGGCAATTAGAATAATAATCCAATATGACATCACTTCTTTTTTAGCCCACTCAGTTATCAATCTTCCCATTTTTTCTGCTAATTTTCATATCTTAAAATCTTATTGAATTATTGTTCTCCATTTCCTTAGAAAAAGTTATTTTTTAATTATAATTATTCAAGTTGTTGAGTTGAAAATAGATTTTGTTTTTCTGATGCATAAGATGTCATCTACATTCTTTATGCATATCCTTGGGTTAATGTTTGAATTATTTATTATATCAGATAGTAATTTATTCTTATGAATTCAACTTAAATTAATAGAGAGAATCGCTCCCATTTTCATTCCAAAGGAGTATATTATAAAGATCTGTTTCCAGAGTTGGAGACCTCTTCTGAATAGATTGAAAACTGGATGCAATACGGTACCATAGCCTTCTTACATACCATGATATACCTACTGGGCTTAAGCTAATTAGGCAGAACTTTATTATTAAGCAAAATAATAATAAAAAATATATTTTCTGAAATAAAAGTAACATTAAATAGAAAACAAAAACAAACTACGAAATATGGAAAGTTAACTTAAATTATCGAGAAAAAAAAAAGTAAAGAATTCTAATATTAGAACGATTCCACAGATAAACTCAGCTTTTTAGAATTTATACAATGGCTCTTGACATTAGCAATAAAGAGTAAAGACTGAAGTGGATAACATTAGTGAAATTTAAACAATAAGGTAGCATTATTCAGAGGATAAAAAAAAGTCAACATCATGGATTGGTATCTTGGCTTGTTTTTAATTGAAAATAGTGCTAATTTAGATATATAATGTCTGCCAGGATAAATCAGTTTACACTTAAGAAGTTAAAAATACTTTTAAATTTAAAAATGTATCATTTTTATAAAATTTGTTCAAAGACTTTTTCATACCACTGTATATTTAATTATAGTTTTTTATAATTACAGGAAACTAAAATAAACCAATTCATACTTACAAGAACGTAAATAATAGGATGAAGCTGTTTCAAATATTTTAACAGCCATGCTGGTAAGCAATACTAGACAATGACACCTTCTGTAAACGGTTTTCTGGGTTAAATACCATTCTTCTATAGTAGTTTTTTCAATTAGATACATATAGGAAAGCCACCTAACACAATAAATCTGGATTTCCCAATCAGACTCATTCATAAAGTAATCTATTAAGTTACTGATCACCTCTATAAAACATGCCCCTGAAAGAAATAAGAAATATTTAGCACAAAAGTATCTAAGAGAAGTTATAGCATATTTAAAAAAAAAAATTAAATAATTTACCTCTAGTGAAAAATACAGGTTCTGAGTCAATAACCATATGGTTAGAGTCTGAAATAAAAAATAAGATAGAACATTGTTCAATTTTTTTGGAATTTAATCAAAACAAAAATAATATCATCATAATTTATGGAAATCGGTAGTAGATATTAGCTATAACCTCATAATTTAAACAAAAAAGAACAATTAGGTATAAATAGTTTAATTAAATAATATTTATTATAAATATTTGTTCATACTTTTCATCATAAAAACATGTATAAATAAACAAATAGGGTAACGCTAAAACATCAATTTTTTTCTCACTTAATTATTTTGAACTAAGAATAAACAAATGCACTTTAGTTATAATTCTCTTGAGTCACACATAAGGAACATATATGTTAACAGCAGTGATTTCTCAGCTTATACATCTTCTCTACCAGTGGAAGTAGCATAGCTAAGACCCAAGTCCCAAGCCCAGATAAAGGATTGGGGTGGGACCTGAAACCCAACCCTGTAAAACATACATCCCATCGAAACCTCAACAAGAAATAGCCAGACTGACTTTAAGGAAAATTTGAGAAAAGGAAAGGAACACAATTTTTGACTTCAACACATCGTTCCGATTAGTTAGGATCCAACCGTGAAAGTTTCTTTTCTATGTGGTAAAATTAAAAAAAAACTATTTTAAAAATACAAAGGTAGTGGATCAGCTGATGCGAAGGACGTGTTCTGAAATCTTCTCTCAGTTTTTGCCTATTTTTCAGCGGAATCTCTTTGATTATTTACTGAATACAGTTGAAGTGTACACTAGAGCAGTTGTTATTTACTGTTTGATACATTTTTTTTTAATTTTTAATTTTTTTTTTTTTTTAAATTTTAATTTTTTTTTCTCTTATGATATGCGGCATAGTCAGCAAGTGATGTCCAGTAAGGTGCCCACTAAAAGGACTCGGTCAGACGGCGTTAGTACCCCTCGTGATTCACCAGCGAAACAAAGAACTCGTCGCTGCCTGCGAGAAATTGCTCAACCACAGTGAAAACTTCAGGTACAGAACCTCAGCCTCAACCAGGTACCTCTTCGCAAGAAATGGTTGAAGAATCTCCTTTCTTCACTCCAAACCCGTTCCAAGTGCTTTATAATGACAGAGAAGTAATGGAGTCAGCAGCAGTACCTAGGGAACCAAGGCCTCCTCAGATATTTGTAAAAAATATCAAAAATTTTCAACTACTGTGTACACAACTAAACGAAATCTGCTCCGGCAGTTATTCTTGCCTCAATAGAACCAACGATACGAAAATAACACCAGATACTGCAGAAACCTACCGAAAAATTGTGAAGTACCTGTCCGAAACGAATGCAAATTTCCACACATACCAGCTGAAACAGGAGAGATCGCTACGAGTGGTGGTAAGAAATTTACACTCCTCAACCCCAACTGAAGTTATAAAAGAAGAACTAGCGACGCTTGGTTTCAAAGTGCGTCAGGTAACCAACGTTCTGAAGGAGAATAAGGAGCAGCCAGGAGTAAGTAATAAGGTTCCACTACCTTTATTTTTCGTGGATCTAGAGCCATCACCTGGTATTGAAAAAATATATGACATCAAGAGATTGTACTACACTATCGTGAAGATAGAGAAGCCATACCCCAAGAAGGAAATTGTACAGTGCCACAATTGCCAGGCGTATGGCCACACGAAAACTTATTGTCACCATCTGCTGCGTTGCGTGAAATGCGGTGAACAGCACAAATCTGTGGAGTGCACCAAACCAATACAAGATCCTGCAGTGTGTGCACTATGCCAGGAGGGACACCCGGCCAACTACAAAGGCTGCCAAACCAATAAGAGCCTCAAATCCAGATACCAGAAGAACCGGATTCAAGATGAGACAACCAGACCAAGAAGAGAACCTTCTAGAATAGTTAATAATAATTTATCATACTCCGAACTACTTGGAGGTAAGAACCCCAATAATACATGTGAAGCCCTGTCGCAGCAACTACCTCAGCCCCAACCTCAATATTCTGTTCATCCTAACACACATAATCATCAATAACCTCAAATTCCTCCTCCTTCAAATGCAACAGATCTCACCAGTTTGTTAGCACCTTTCCTCACCGATTTCAAATCCCTAGTTACTCCACTCATATCACTCCTTACAAATCTCGTATCTCACCTCATCCCTCCTTTGAAAAATCCTTAATGACTCACATCCCAAAACCCATATCCATTCTCCTTTGGAATGCGAATGGTGTTAGAAATCACGTTGACGAACTAACAGCTTTACTACAAGACAAGAACATTGACGTAGCCCTTATTACAGAAACTCGACTGACCATAAAACAGCATTTGAAAATCCCACAGTATTTAACATACCGTACTGACCATTCTGACGGCAGAGCACATGCCGGTACTGCTGTCATCGTACACCAATCCCTCTCCCATCACTTACTCCCATTACCCACTCAAGATTTCCTACAGTCAACCGCTATTGTAATCAAAACCTTCTCCTTTCCAGTCACCCTTGCATCAGCATATTGCCCTCCTAACAGATCCATATCCAAAGTCCAGTTCAGTTCTCTCCTCAACTCCTTAGGTCATAATTTCATCCTGGGTGGAGATTTAAACGCCAAACACCATCAATGGGGTTCTAGAACCACGAACTCTCGTGGCAGAACTCAATTCCCAACGGTTCAGTATCCTTCCTCCTAAGTCACCTACCTACTGGCCCACAGATCCTAACCGCAATCCCGATATCCTTGATTTTTTCATCCACAGTGGCTTAGGTCCCCTCAATCATTCCCTTACCCGTCTTGCCGAACTATCCTCAGATCATAGTCCATTATTACTCCAATTATCTCTTGCTCCTATTCCTAAGTCTTCTCCACCGTCCTTCATCAGAGGCCCAGTTAACTGGAAACTCTATCACCAAATCCTATCCGATAAAATTGACCTCAGAATAACCCTAAAAACCCCAGATGACCTTGATAATGCCGTACACCTTTTCACCACCACTATCCAACGAGCAATCTGAACTGCTTCCTCATCCTAACCACTCCTCAAGAACTCCCAAGAAAAATAAGTTACCTCAACACCTCATAGACCTAATCCATACCAAACGCCGTGCCAGATTATTATGGCAACGTACTAGACACCCCATCGATCGTCACTCCTATAATTTTTACAGTAAACAATTAAAGCAGGAATTGGCCACCTTCAAATCCCAATCCTTCAACTCCTACCTTACTTCCCTCTCTGTTCATGACAATTCCCTATGGAAGATCACCAACAAAATCCTAAAATCCCATCATATTTCCCATCCCCTCCGTCGAAGCGATGGCTTCTGGGCAGCGTCTGATGAAGATAAAGCTGAGGAATTCGCCAGACACTTCTCCAGAACATTTACCTCTCATCCGGAATCCAACCTCACCCATACCACAACAGTAGAAGAATTCCTTACATCACCCATTCCACTTTCCTTGCCACCAAAAGCAGTTAATCCTTCTGAGGTCAAACATCACTTACAAAAACTTCCTCTCCGTAAATCTCCTGGATACGACCTCCTTACCTCTCAAATCCTTCGACAACTTCCTCCTAAAGCTGTTATATTTCTCACCTACTTATATAATGCTATCCTAAGAACCACCCACTTTCCTCTCTTGTGGAAACATTCCACTATTATCCTGTTTCCGAAACCAGACCAATTAGCCTACTTCCGATTCTCTCAAAAATCTTTGAAAAGATCCTCCTGAAACGAATCCTACCCTTTATAGAATCCCAAAATTTTCCTTCACATCAGTTCGGATTCCGTTCACAACACTCCACAGTCCAACAAGGACTCCGAGTGGTCGATCATATTTCCGCAGCATTGGAAAGCAAGCAATATTGCTCAGGTTCATATCTGGACATAGCTCAAGCTTTTGACCGGGTATGGCACGCTGGGCTTCTTTCCAAGCTGAAAACCTATCTTCCTCAGTCCTTGTACCTTGTCCTCCTTTCCTACCTCTCAGATCGTACCTTCCGAGTTCGCTGCGGATCATTCGGCGCGGAATGATCAAAATTATTCACTTTCGGGTATTTCCATCCATTGTTTGTACTAAATAAAACTTTCATTGGATCATATAGTGTAATTTATTACATAAAATCCAAGTTTCATGAAAAATTGATTGGATATCAACGTACATATGAGCTGATCTGTGATCGAGTGACAGCCGTCCCTGAAATGTCAACCCAAGACCAAAATACTAACTACTTGTTCATCGGAAATTCAGCATATCAATTCCCAAGATGTGAGATGTTTAATATATAACGTATATAAAAACAATAACTAAGAGGTGTATGTTAAAAATAATAAAAAAATTGTAAATTTTATTTATACATAAAAATTTCAATTTAGTCTCTACAATTTACAATTAGAATCGGAATAGAAACTATTAAATGAGAATAAAATCAAAATGAATACAAATTAAAGATGTTACTTTAAAGTCTTTATCAAGTCAAGAGTATCTAAAATCCTATTCGATATCAAAACGCATATTTTAATTTTACCATATAAATTGAAGTGCAGGCTGTGTCTTGTGAAGAAATCTCTATCCTTCAACTTATACATATTAATCAAGTGAGCTAATTTGGAGAAATTAGCAACTTCTTGATAAAACAGAATCTATTATGTTTTCCTGAATTAGATAATGACGAGGTTCTAGGTAATTATATGGAACATTGCACAACCACAAATTTGTGCGCCTAGCATCCATCACTGCATTGTATACAATACTCTTTGACTCTTCTAAAGTCCCATTCCACATATCATTTGTTCCACATATTGTAACTATAAAATCAGTTTCACCCATATACACCAAAACATTTTTAAGGCTTGATAGAATCTGTTTTGACGTGGCACCTCACTTTACAAAAGCATCAATTTTAAAGCCAGGTAATATTCCAGTAATAATGTCAGCAAGATGTCTCGTATGACTGTCACCTGGTAGATAAATTTTCGGCTGATGAATTCTCACCCAGTCTTTTGATTGAATCGCACGTTTATTAATTTTACTCATTATTTCATC